AGGGACTTCCTGGTTAAATAAAGGCTGAATAAAGAAATCTTACTGCATCCTGCTGTAAACATATGACACATTTTCTGTAGAACAGAACAGAACTATACACATGGTACCAATGGTATATATACCGGCATGGGTCGACACACAGCTGCTGCACAGACGCTCGGCTCGTTGCTTTTAATAATCTGCTCTGGTGGAGTTTCATGAGGATCTTTTCTGATTATTATTCCTGTTGAGTCTGAGCTGAAGCTGCTGATTTAAACCACATGACTGCTGAACACTTTAACCTGAGAAAACACACGAGACAGAAGAGACACTCTCAGACACGTGTTACTGTCTCTCACACACACACACACTCGTGTCCCGTTACAGTCCAACAGCCTGGATATCCAATCCTGATGTTAAATGTCACTCAGTGTATCAGCTTCAGTCTTTAAATGTACAAATGATTCAATCTGACAGAATCAGAATCACACGTTGGATATTTTCCACTGAAACTCAGTTTCTCTGGATACTTGATATTAATCTGCTCATTAAATGATGTTTTTTGCCAATTCATTAAATCTATTTGTTGTTTCTGTATCTAATGGACTCTTTACGTTGTCCATTACCTCCTATTCTCTCTGGGTTAATCTTTTTTAGCACGTTGCTCTGCATCATTAGCCGTCACACTCTCTGACTGCTTCCTGTGTGTTTGGACTTTAACAGCAGTAACTCAATAACGCGACTCAGATCGCTGATGCACTGATGGTAAACGGTCAGCTGGAACTAACGTAACGCCGGTCTCATGATCCACTACAGTGTTTGATAAGGTAGTCCCAGAGCGATGAGTTCCCCGCAGGGTTTTTATTCTTCACGTCTTCTCTCGCAGAGATTTGGGAAGACGTTGACGATGAGCTTCTGTCTCAAAATGAAGCAGCATGTTAGTTGTCCTTAGATCATTTGTGTAAAACGAGTGGTTTGGATGAATTCTGAGCAGATTATTTTCTGTTTTATGTATTTTATACAGACATACGTTTTTACACGCCTTAAAACAAGAAGGCTTTCGCGACCTCTGTGAAGCTTTGGGGACCACTAGAGGGCTCGTGGTTGGGAACCACTGGTCTAATATATATATATGTCTATTAATAATTAGTTTCTTGATTTCACCGGACTGGGGTCCAACACATTGGAGGAAGCCGTCTCTGTAGTCAGAGTTCGTTAGTAAAGACATCATTAGCAGTAGCAGAGACAGACAATTACATGCTCTTGTTAAAAGACGTTTGTCCACAGTTGCTTTATTCAAACAGTCTCTATTGCAGGAACTGTTCACACTCACACAGTCAAACACATTCACACTGGGAGCTGCCCAGTACAACCAGTCTGACACTGAGCAGCTCCATCCTAAAGAGGGACTTCTGTATTTTAAAACCTGAACCTGATTTTTGCATGTTTTTGTGTTGAAGTGACTAATGGAGACTAGTTTTGAATGTGGTCCAGTATTGAGTGAGCCCACTGCAGCCTGGAGCTGTATGATCCCTGCAGGTTTGTGTTGTCACTTAAAACAATCTGAGCAGTGGCAAAAACAACCACTTTTAATGGACATATTTTGACGATGTGCAGTTGCCTGCCAGGATTACGTTGTAGCCTGTTTCACTGTTTTACGCAATACTGGGCCAAATTTAAAACATGTTGTCCTTTGACACAAAAACATTTAAACAATGAGGCCCAGATTGAAAAATACCAAACTTACTCTTTAAAATGTGATTTTCTTTGGCCCCATTTAGCACCAGCTGAAGGTATGACTGACTGAACCAGGTAAGAATAAATAGAAGCATGGATTAATGTCTCAAAATAATTAAAAGAAGAAATATGCTTCACCTTGCTTAAAACTGGGATGGTAGAAAGATGATTTAACAACAGCATTTACTTATTAATCAAATAGAAATAAGAGAGCTATTTAATAAAGACAAAATGGAGGGACCTCGGTGTCAAATCCCTCTCTTTAGCACCTGGCGAGAGATAGGATCAAGTGGGTAAACTTTGTAAGTGGGAGGTGTGTGCACCTAACAGAAGATGCTATAATGACATACAAATTATACTTAGCGCGGCATTAATATTAGCAGGAAGGTTTATTATAAAACGTATTTTCACCCCTTACATGAAACTGTTAAAAAATGACCAAAGAGAGACATTTGCACTGATTTAATGCAACATGTTTTGAAGTGAGAGCTACAGTGCAATCAGGCAACATTAGGTCCCAGTAGAGATCACTTTTGTTTACCACCACGCCAGAGGAAATGGGTTGCCTGTGAAAGAATGGGTTCTTTTTAGACAACAGAAGACTACAAGAGTGTGTTTTATCTGTGAGGCAATATTGCTTCATCCCTAAGTTTGTCTTCGCCTCTCCCCATGTGGTACAGTCTTGTGCTTCAGAGCCACAGCATTCAACTGTTACTCTGTGTGCCAAAGACTCTTCTGTAAATGTCAGTCACAGACAATCTAGCAAGTAATATCTATATTTTCTCTGTGTTCTTTTCCCCTATGGTATACTTTGATATTGAAAGGACATTTTGTTCCTTAGTATTGTCTTTCAGGATACTTTTAAGGACCTCTATACTTTCTCAAGGACCTCTAATTCCCTCTATTCAGCACAAAGTGTATTGACATCTGTACACTCATTGTGTTATCCTACTCTGCTTCACAGAGCTGTGCCTGTCTGTAACAGTGACTCATGTCTCTTGCAGAAATTTCTCCAAGGCCAGCGATGTATGGGAAGACATTCTGGTTGATCACCCCACTGATATTCTGGCTCTCAAGTTTGCTCATGATGCCTACTTCTACTTGGGAGCCCAAAACCAGATGAGGGACTCTGTGGCCAGGGTGCTGCCCCACTGGAAACCACATATGCCTTTGTCTGGGTAAGGAAAACAGCGCAAATTACAAAATAACCATTTTGGATGTCTTTATAACCTATGAAAACTCATTAACCTATAGTATATTGGCTTAGTTATAGATGTAATGGATGTGAGAGGGGGCTTTAAACACTGGAGTTTGTACTCTATACGGGTGCTGACTTACTGTACCAATATAATGGGACTGAATGGGCCTCCGTTGGCTTAAATACATTATATAATTCATAATAACATAAACTGTACAAGTAATTATAATGAGCTTATGTGCAGCTGGTCAGAGTGTAATACTGAACCTTTTGAAAAAGGTCTATGGGATTGTAAATAAATCTTTATGATTTAAGTAATCATATCAGGAAGCAAAGTCATAGCACCCAGTGACAAAGAATTACACACAGTTTAGCATGTTAATCATGTTACCATAAAATATCAGACGACAACCTGAAAACAATGTGACAGCGTAAAAGGGGTCACCTGTAGTGATGAACCTATAGAGACTTATCACCTGAATCTCCAGCTCTGCTTTATAGAGCTTTATGGCAAGTTGCAGTTCATTGTTTAGCTCTCAGGCCCTCAACTACTATTTTGGTTCACTCTCACTGCTCTCATAACGTCGTTTAGCATCTGTTTTAAGCAAAAAAGCTCTAAAACCTACTGTACACTACCTGCTAGGCACCAAACAACAGAGAGACACAGTTAGCAACTAGATAGTGATCATAATGGAGCATTTAGCAGCTAGGCCTCTAGCTTTAGAGCCAGATATTTGCACCTGGAATTGGTGGAGGCCAAATATGAAGTGAAAAGGTTTGTGGTCCATTCATGCAGGTTTTAAAATCATTCGAAATCATGTTTTTCAGATGGGGTCCCATAAATATGGAAATTTTCAATGGAAACACACAGAACTGCATAAAATGATGCACGTATGGATATATAAACTAATGAACTGTATATATAACATAAAAGTTTGCCATTAAGTAAGGCAAATGCTCCAAAGAAAAATAAACAGATGTATGCAGTTTATATCCTCAAGTCATCAAAGTCATCATCACAAGGACGTGCAAAGGTAACATAGATACTAATGTTCCTGCTTAGTGTAGTGATGAGGCTGATTAATGAATGGTAGTGAGGAAAGTGGTGCTTACTGACAGTGTAGAGAGGGTTTCAAGAAAAGTCCGTTGAGGTGATCGAACCCTATTGCCCTGCAGAGGGTAATTTCTCAGACAGCCTTAGCCTTCACCCCGCAATCATGCATGTCCTTGACGGGTGACAACTTGAAGCGAGAAAATTATTGTTTTCCTCCACATCCTTCCTTCAACAACACAGTGAAAGAAATCAAACAAAATCATATTTTAACATTAATGGTAACATTCATGCCTCACAGCAATATTTACTGCGTGGCAATAATGTGAAGGCAGGTATCAGCATGATCAAAAGTCGGTGATGGCACCCAGAAGTTGACAGAGATTTAATAACTTAGGGTCAAATATGGCTCTTAGCTGTCGCTTTTGTTGCTTTAGGCATGTTATTCACAAAACTAGTGTCTTCTTTTCATCATCTTAGATAAATTGAATAGGTGACTAAAAGTCCTTTACGCCCCGTGTTCTATAATGAGATATTTTTTTGTGTGTTTCTGCCCTCAGCTATCTGAAAGGACTGTATTCCTTCGGCCTCCTGGAGACTCGCTTCTATGACCAGGCTGAGAAAGTAGCCATGGAGGTGAGATTTTCTTCTCCATTATAGTCTGTTGTACACGCTTTTGTCATTATTGTAGCTGGGTGGTCCAGCCTGTCTGTGTGATTGTGTCTGTTCAATTCGGCAAGTAATTTGGTGTCGAACTCCAATAATAAGCTACTCTCAGCCCTAAGCAGCCAGACTCTTCTGTGCAGAATGCATAATGCATACAAATTAGTTGTGACACAACGGTCACTTGAAAAAAGATTGAGGAACATCACAGACGAAATGGCAGCTGAGAGTTGAGCATGCCATTATTTTTGAGTTGTCATTTTGCTCTGGTGTAACAAATACAGCATTTTTTGTATTGCTTCTCCTTACTCCAAATGATGAGACTCTCTTGTGCAGGGCCTCGCTCTGACTCCAGATGATGCTTGGTCTGTCCACGCTGTAGCCCATGTTTATGAGATGAAAGCGGAGGTGGACAAAGGCTTGAAGTTCATGGAGGGTAGAGAGAAAGACTGGCAGGTACAACCTTTGGCTGTGTTTTTCTGATAAATCACATCTCAGCAACCTTGAACAGTTATGTACAGTCTACTGAATTAAATTACAAATTAAAATTGCCCTAGGAAAAATATTTCCAATATGTATCTGTAATTCCAGGTGTCTGACGTACTGGCCAGTCATAACTATTGGCATTGGGCTCTATACTTCATCGAGAAGGTAAAAATGATAATGGGTTTTCTCAGTCAAGCGAATAGTTGGCAATAGGAGTGTTTGTGGAACGTATTTATGATATCCTTTCCCGTGGGTAATTTGAAGTTTGGAGTTGATTATATTGCAAGATTAATTTGTGTTTGCATCTGCGCAACACAATCTATCAACCTCACTTATCGCTCAAGTCTGAAGTTATTCAAATTCGTCTCTCTCCCCTCTTCCTCCTCCACAGGGGCAATACGAATCCGCTCTGCAAATATACGATTGTCAGGTGGGTCTGTGCCGAGAGTTTGCATCCAATATTTAGCGGTATATCTGTCTGAGTACATACACGTCGAGTCCTTTCAAGAGCCATGCATGTACAAATACACAAGGGACACAGAATAAAAGCAATATGTTTTGCTTGTTGAGTGTCAGAAAGGCAAGTGTGTGCAAATGGAAGTCAAATCCATGTGAACACATTTCACTGTCAGCTGCCAAAGCTGATTATTTTTTTATTCATTCTAAAAATAGGTGAGGCAAGTAAAGCCCTTTCAAGTCCTGTACCTTTTCAAGAACATTGCATAGTGTTACTTTCCTCTGCCATAAGTTCGAACACAACAGAAATTCTTACATCAAGTCAGCTGAATTTCATGTAACTGCTCATTTCAGGAAGACACGTTGTGGAGGCTGTTACATCCTTCAGTGGTCAAGCTGAATAGTATGAGTTTGTCTTTGTTTTTTCTAAGGTATTCAGACGTTGTAAAGACACAGGATCCATGTTGGACACTGTAGATGCTTGTTCAATGCTCTGCAGACTGGAAATGGAGGGTAAGATACGGGCTAATATGGCAATTCACAAGGTATCGTTGGTAGTGGAACCACTGTCTCAAAACTGGGAAGAGATTTTGATCTTCGGGTCCCATACTGTACGATGCTTGGCCACTAATCAGAGTTTAAAAGTTCCTGAAATAGTGCATGTCATTGGACTGTTGGAAATTTTGAAAATTACACTGATTAGCCCTTTGAAGGTGCTGTAACATTTGTTCATGTGTTGCTAATGGGCTGAAGGGTGCAACATCTTATTTGTAAGTTAAGACAGTATGGTCTTAAGTGAAACTGCTAATGAGGTGAGATAATCTCAGTTATCATACCTCATTAATCTGAAAGTCAAGATGTTGTGTTGGATGTAATTAGCAGAACCTCTGCCTACATTTGTTTTACTCGGTTCAGACTAAAACAGAGACTATATTACCTTAACTTAAAACAACAAAATATGTTTTTCTAATCTTTTTGCAGCTTAATATTTGTGTGTTTGTGTTGGTGGATGTGTCAGGGGTGTGCGTGAAGGACCGCTGGCGAGAACTCCTCCAGATAACACAGCCTCACACCGACGACCATGTGACGTTGTTTAACGACCTCCACTTCCTCATGGTGTCGCTGGGAGCTAAGGAGAGCGGTACCTCGCGGCGTCTGCTGGAGGGCCTCCAGGAATTGGCTAAGTAAGTTCTGCACCATTTCTTCCCCTCACTGCACACCTCGACACTCAGTCGGTGTTACATAAGAGCCACACAGGCCTTATGTAAAACTGAGACACAAACAAGGCTGAGCGTAGGATGGCGAGATATAGAGAGAATACAGTCAGAAAGACAATTCAGAGCTGCAGTCCGTCTCAGAGACCCGGGTCTTCCCTCTGTAGCAGATGCACCAGCAGCTGCTGCCTCTCTGGAGTTTTGTAATGAATGACCGCAGACAGCCTGTGCTCTCCATTTTGTCCGCCACACAGCCCACAGACAAGCTGCCATTTAAAACCACTCCTTTAAATTGTTATGTGTTACATTATATAATGCAAGTCTTAGGGAGAGTTAGGGAAGAGTAAGAGACAGAAATGTTCTCCCCAGTACAGCTCTGCTTTAAAATATCAGGCAAGCCATGAGGATGTGTTTGAGCTTTGCATTTATTTAATTCCATCACTCACATACAGTATCGTGTCGCTTTAACTTCGGTTTGGAAGGATTGCACAGTTTTACATAATCCATATTTTGCCATAATGTCATTTTACATACTTCCTCTTACAGTCAGAGGCAGTGACTCTAAGCATTAGCTAATCCAAGAAAGCCTCACACCAGTATGGAATCATAGTGAAGTGAATCCTACTAACCATAGCTGGAGGTTTTTCTGTAGGTTTTGTTGATGTTAGTGGGGTTTTTTTATGAAGAGATTACATGTTGGTGTCATTCGCAGCTTTCATTTTATTGAACTTTAGAGTTTAATCTATTAAAATGACAGAAGCCTGGTTTTGTTGTACAGTGAAGTTACCTGTAAATCTTTTTCTTTTAATCTCCAGAGTCCCTTATTGTCCTGTTTATTTAAACAGTTTCCTGCTTGCCCTTTATTTTATTGTGTATTTGTATTTGTGTATGTGTATTTTCCAGAAATAACTACTCAAAACTAATTTAATAATGGCTTCTCATATGATTTAAATTTATGATTTTAATGTTTTGGCTTGTCTCTTTTCCCTGCTGATGAAACGGTGGTGTATAGATGAAAAATAATAAATAGAACAAACATTATATGCTTACCTTTCCTCACAAATGTTCACCCCCCAAAACATTCCTCCCCCTCAATTAGTTTCTAAACCTTCCAGTTGTACAAAGAAATGTCTTTTCTTTTGATATAAACTCCTTTCCTTCACAGAGAGCCAGGGGACAATCAGCAACATCAGTTGGCTGGGACTGTCGGTATACCAATGTGTCAGGCCATGATGGAGTACAACCAGGGCAACTACGATCGAGCTGTGGAGCTACTGCACCCTTTACGCTACCGCATGGTAGATATAGGTGGCAGTGATGCGCAGGTATGCTCCACAGAAATGGGTATATTGGGTAAAATGAAACAAAGTCCAGAACCAAACTGCTGTTCTCTTATGCACAGTTGAAACACGTACAGTTTTGAGGCTTTACTTTCTTTGGATATCTTTGATTATACTTATTGTGTTTTCTTGAGTAAAACAGAAATCCCTGTTGTTGTAAAATAGGCCGGAGGTGAAGAACGCTCTGCGCAAGAGCTGAAGCCTTTCAGTCCATGAACATACAACATAGTTTGAGAATGTGGACCACAGTGCACCAATGTATGAATAATGAATCTCTGTGATGGATGTTGATGGACTTGCATTTTATGTTCTTTGTCTTCAGAAAACTGTTTCCCATGGTACAGCAGTGTACATACAAGGGTAGAAAGACTCAGAGTTGGAGCAGCTTTATTCTTACTAAGGGGTTTGTCCACTGTTTTTTTACAGAGGGATGTCTTCAATCAACTGCTTATTCATGCAGCCATGAAGTCGGAAAATAAACACCACCAGAAACTGGGAAGGTAATGTACAACAGGGATTTCTAGGCAAACAGAAAGCTTCAGTCTTTTCCAATTTAAGTGCAGGACATCATTGCCAGCCATGTTTATATGGGAAAATCTGTTTAGAGATTATAGGAGGAAAAAAAAAGATCTTGCACTATTTGAAGCGCTGGATTTCATCATGATACCATGTAGCTGCTGTTAGGGCTGCTGTCCACTCGAGGTTTCTCTAATCTTTCCATGTACTAATAATGTATATTGCCATTATGTAATTGACATCCTCTGTCTGTTCACCATGTTGTACTTCCATTATTGATCAGTTTAGCCTCTCGGCTTGTTTTTCTGAATCTGTCTCTCTCTTTGTACTGTCTTGTGTTGTGCTGAATTCCTGCAGATGTCTTCTGGTGGAGCGCGATGCCATGAGGCCGGACTCCCCTCTGACTGATCGCCTGATGCAGAGAGCCCTGGCTCTTCACAACTAGACTGACTGCAAGGTGCGCAGAGCAGTTCCTATGCAAAAAACATCAAAGCAACACCATAATCTGATGTGCTGGCGTTTGGCTTTAGGAGACCCCTTTGCCAACTGGCAGGACTTTGGCACTGTTGTCAAAACATCTGAAAAGTTTTATACAGCCCTCTCGCTCATTGCCCTTTTAGATTGCTGACCTGTAAAGCTTTGTAAGTGAACAAATTTGCACATCTCTCTTCTCTTATGAGCTAATATTAATCACAGGTTGCCAATTTTCATTATGTGAGTCGATTCTTTTAGCTAACAAAACTTACACCTTTAATCAACTTACAACAGTGTAACTTTCTTCTTCCTTTGAATTTTATTAGCAAACATCACATTTAAATATAAATACTTTTCAGAAATAAAATCTGCATGTCAAGATCAATACAAAAACCATTTTCAAAACTAATAAATATACACTTTGCCCTTTGCATCTGACTATTTGAGTAACACAATAAAGTGCACCACACTTTTATGCCCGGAGGCAACAGCACGTTAAGAAAAAGAAATGTAGTCAAACGTTGCAGTGATACAGTAGCAGTAAGAAAGATGTCCTTGCACATGTCAGAGGAGCTGAGCACAGTACTGTAAGTTCTTTTCTTCCCTCCTCTTCCCCTGTGTCAGCCCACTCTCACAACACTGAGGTAATCTCATCTTGGATCTGAGAGATCAGCATCTGGGACAGCACGATGCCTGCAATCTAGAGGACAGCAGCAGCCACTTTAGATTACAGAACAGACTCTGTGCAACTGTACAGCCTGTGCAGAGAATCTCAAGGTCCCTCAGAAGGGTGTTGTAATGCTCATTTGGCACAGTGAGGAAACGTTTTAAAATTTGATGAGACTGTTTAGATTGTGTCAGTGGAAATACTTTTATATTTATATCATACTTATGGAATTATAACATTTTTATATGTATCACTTCCTATAGAGATGATAAAATGATTCTCCTGGCGAGAATGCACACATTCTGCGGCAAACTTAAACAGTTTAACAGTTAAATGCGTCTTGCAGACTAATCTAGTGATAGTGTTAAGTTAGGATGGGGAAAAAGGAGAACTCGATCATTAGATTTACTGCACATCAAAGCAACTAGAACACTTATGCAATTGTTTTGACAGAACTCTGGGGTAATTCATATGCTTCCCTCTTAGCATAATCTTTGGGGAACCAATCAGCCAAATATGAGAGCGAGAGAGATCAGGCGAAAGATCCAGTGACAAAGTGGCATGCTGTTTGAGAATGCAATGTGACAGCACCTGAATTATTTTTTACAAGTAAGCGGCAGACTAATTATTTAGAGTCAGATTTTGTTAACTTGATTTCATGGCCAATCTAACATAGTGACTTGAGTTATTAACAGTACTTAATGCTGTTGGAGTTGAGCTTGTGTTGCGCCGTGGTTTTCAGTGACTAGGAGGGAATCATCAGTATCTTCTTTTCTTAAGCACATAATCTTACATTATCACACGCAGACTTCTACCTTGGTTGAACATTAACCTGTACTCTCGGTCTAGAACAAGGTAATAAATGAATAATATGCAGTTAAAATTTCATTGTCCCATTGGGCCCAGTTATTGCTGTCTAGATAACCCTCCATTTTAAATCAGTTCTATCCCACTGGACTCTCATTAACCTTACACTCTGTTGGTTTGTTTTAGAATAAGATTTTAAATTAAAATAAAAAAATAAGACACGAGACAATCTGAACTTGTCCAGGGAAGCGCTCTGATTTGTATGTGATTTAGTTAAGGAAAGGTGTAAAGTCTTGATTGATGAAGTGTTGCGTAGTATTCCGCTGCTCCTTCCCAATGCACCATGCGAGTCTACCTTTTGAGGGAGAGCCTGTCAGTATGTTGATTGCTTACACGCTCAGTCTGGTGAGCCTCCAGTTGATGCGTATATTGACTTTTGTTTGTGAGCTTATTTAAGAGAATACAAGAGTAATTTTAGCCCAGAGTTGTCTGAGGTAACCAGTGGTAAAGAACTGCTGCCAATTGGTACACAGCCTGCATTAAGTGAGGGCACGTGTGGGATTACCTGAGGCAAGGCCAGACCCAGGGCGAGAGCCCCCACCAGCAACAGATGAGACTCGATCCACATCACTGCTCTGTCCGCACAGCCTACCGGGTAGATTGATTTGTTGGCCTCCAGGTATTTCTGGGTTTGAACTCCAAAACCGCACATAGTGTTGATCACTGCCTGTACGCCAGATGGCCAACGGAAAAGACCGAGAGAGAAAACATTAGAGTTGGAAAGATTACCTTTGATCTTTCTTTGAAATAGTATTCAGAAGACGCCTTCCCACGCTGCTGTTTCACATCCTTTACGTTATTTTGCACTGACAAAGACATTTCCCTTTACTGCCACTATTCTGTGTAGTTTTGCAGAGGCCTGCTGATTGTAGAGACTTGGAAGAAAAAAAACAACAAAGAAAACTGCAAGAAAGCAATACAACCACATCCATTTGATGTGACAAGGAAGGCTACTCAGTCCCTAAAGTAATCATGCAGTTACGGGCTCTGAACAGCAGGTTGCAGCACTGCATCAGCTCTTCTAGTATTTAATTAATTGATTTTCTACCCATGTAGAGAAAGGTTGCTGTGATCTGTTTTCCGTGTAGCATGATGTATAATCCATATAAGTCTGATGGATCTACATGCAGTCACTTAGTTTTCTGTCTTCAAACCAACTAGAAGGAATTGGCATTGGTGGCGTGTAAGCTATGCTGCTGTGTGTCTGCACAGAGGTTAGACAAGCATTTTGTATGTATCTGTACGTGAGTGCAAATGGGTGTATTCATGCATGTATTAATACAGTATTTACATATATACTATTTGCGTGCCAGAATGCATGCTTATCTGCACATATATAATTTGTTCTGCATGTGCAGGCAGCTGTGTGTGTTGATTCTGTGCAAATAATTTATGATAAAACCTTCATGAAAAAGGGCTTAAATGTTGATACAGGTAAATCACCACTGCCAACAATGCTTCAAAAATTGTTTATAGGCTGCAGCAAATCAACGCTATATGTTGGATACGACCACTAACTCTTTGTGTCTGCAGTTTGTCTGCCTTGATTTTAGAGAATTTTCTCTTGATTGTTGTATCATTCTGTACTTTTTTTTTGATGAAAGTCACCTCATGGAGCTCGTCATTCACTAATCATTCATGCAGGTGGCAGATTCTTCACAACAAACTGGTTGGTCGTTTTCAGACCAGTTCTTCACACAACAACCTACTTTGCCCAAAGGAAAGGAAAGTGCAGTTTATACCTGCTGATGCAGACGTGTTGATGTCGCCTCCAGGCAAAGAAAGGCACAGCTTCGGCAGTTTTTACACACTTGTGTACTTCTCCAGTGCCAAAATAATACTGCCATTGTCAAGAAACTAGCTACATTTTAGCATGCACAGGCCACCAACAGTCTGGTATGTTGAATATATTATTTGCATTGCATGCTTTTATATTTGTTTTATTGTATCTCTTCTAATAAGCCAGTCAGAAATTTCTGATTTTATTTCACATTATTCATACAGCCTGACAGGCCCTGCTTGGGGAGGTTATTTTGTTTTGCCTAACCAATTGATAGTTAGGCAAAACATTTAAAACATTCACTTTAATTTATGTGTGTTTTTCACATAAATTAAAGAAATATGTTGATTTTTAAAGTCGACTTTCAATAACTTGTACAGCTGCGTTGATCTCATCGACATTTTTCTGTCACTATTTTTTATGCTAGGTAGCTAGCTATGTGTAAAGTTGATGTCCTCATTCTTAATCCTGTTTAATGAGCTGTTATCATTAAATTGTCTCTCTTACTGAGGGAAACAGCTGCACAACACCAGACCTAATTATATTGCTGAACAAATCTGAGATGTGGATAGCCCATGTGTGATGCTTGTAGCCTGTTAAAATTGCAGGTAGTATATCTGTTGAGAAGCTTTTACTTTACTTAACTGTAGATGGTGCACATCAACATATCTATATTTGCCGTTTTGTTTCGCTAATGTTGCTGAGAGAACTGAGCAACTAAGCAAATAACCTAGTTTTAAATTGTTGCTGTTATTTTTATTGACTGTGGCGAAGGTTGTACTCTTTAAATGCAGTTCCAGAACATACGTTTGAAACACTGTGTGGCCATGCTGACTGATACATCTATAGGTTTTTGGGAAGAGCACCTTGGAACTCAATTAGTTGCTTCCCATTACCCTGAAACCAAGTATGAGTCTTTGAGGCTGTTCCTAAGTTGAAGTTAAAGTCAACAGTTTATCTTTGAAGCTTTTTTACCAGTTTGTCCACACAGTGTATGTTATGAGGTTAAATAGAAAAGCACGCACCTCTCCAGGCACAGGAGTACAGCAGGAGTAAGGCACAGCGCAGCGCTCGGAGCTGGGGTTCTCATGTGTACAATTAAAGTACAGGTTCCAGGACCAGTCTGTGTAGTTGTTCCACCCACAACACTTGAACTGAGTGAAAGAGAGAGAGAGGAGTGCAAAATGCAGGTATATATTAAGAAACATGCTCTGTAATGTACATCCTGCATGTCTGGGCTTCTCCCACGGGAAAACCCGGCCAGTGAGTGCACACCAGTGAATATCACATGAGGAGGGCCACAGGGGACAGGAACTGTATGCAACATGTAGCCTTTCATGTGGAAAAACCCTCACCAAGGCCAAAATAACATAATACATACAGCTCTGTGGTTTCAGGTTGTGGTTTCCTGGTTTAGTGCTCAGACATATTCAATAAACCACTAGCTGTGATAAATATGAAGACTTCTGTGATGTGGATAACTACAGACACATACGCAGCCACTCTAAGTGGAATTGGCCAGAGCACCTCTTTCTGGATGTAATCCATCAGGTTTTGCAGATCCAGGTCATCCCTGTAGTGCACAATGGCTTTCTTCACAAACTTTCCAAAAGCATCCCGAGTCTAAAAGAGAGGGCATGAGAGAGAAGCTTTAATATCAGAATTGCCATGTTTAAATGATAACGTTAAATATCGTGTGTTAAAAAAAGAAATTGCCAGAGGTGAACTTATCCAGAAATGTCTCTATAACCAGGCTCCTCAGGTGCGCAGTGACCTGGTAAAACCTCTCAGGTTTTGTGGCTTAGTATTACTTGGGGTGCATCTTTTGCAGAGAATTACTAAAAGCTTTCCTGTGAAACGTTTGGACAGACGCTGTGGAAATCTCACAACTCAAAATGGATCATATCTGGGATCATTTCAAATCCAAGTTAAAACCATTTCTCAAGAGTGATCAGGCATATATTCACGGTTCATCAGGTGGCTTTCTTTGGATTTCAGCGACTTATTCACAGTGCCTTTGTTGTAATTTCACATATAATAATTTACATATGCAATCCATTTATGTGAATGTTGCATTGCACTGCAGATGTTTTTTTTTTATAAGACCGCCTGGAGACACATTACACATTTGCTTTTAGGCTATAAATGCTATGATGTGTGGCATTAGTTTCCTCTTTGAATATTGTATGCTAAAGTATGTAAAAATAAACATAAATAACAACAGATGTCTGAGGGGGACACAGCATTGTCTTGTTAGCATTGCATGAGCACCTTGTGGGATGTATCTCGACAAGACAGTAGTGGAGCAGCAACTCCTGCTGCAGCATAATGCTTGCAGTAGCACAGCATAACGATAATAAAACCCCTCATGCCTCTGAGATCAATACACACGATGCATGCAAATGCAGAGCACACAGGCAGGTTTTCCACTATTTCAGCTCTGGTAGATAATTACTTGAACTTAGCCATTTGTTATTATAATGTGGTAATTTTCATCAGCTCCACTTGAGCTGAATAAACAATACTCAGATGAAATATAAATGAAATACATTGATTTGTTTGAATAATCAGTAATGAGGATTTTCAAACAAAATGAGGTTGATTCAGACATTAAAATTGTGAGCTACTTTATTTTGTTAGCTTTCATGGTCTATTACATTATATTCCTTTTCAGAGTATTAATGAGGCCATGCATTGTTAATATTTAGGTTTTCTATTCTCACATATAAAAAGAGTGTTTGAAAAGGTATTTAATGCAAATCTCTATCCTTTAAAAAATTCTGATAACAAGGATGGCCATGGTTGTACAGACTGAGTTTAGATGTAATATATGCTAATAGGAGCAGTGTATGCTAATAAGCCGCTGAACTTTAAAATTTCATTAAGCTTTAAAATGAACTTCTGTGAGCGGTTTGCTAAAGGCTCTCTGAATTGTTCGCATTGCAACCCGTGTTAGAACAGGTTATGTTGATAAATGAATTGTGTGTGTGAATCTTTATCCTCAAGTAGTTTTACTAAATTATGTTAGGATTTTTACAGCCACACCCCCCCCCCCCCCCCCTTTGCATTTCCACGCGGTACAGTATGCTCGTGGCCCACTGTCACACCTCCCCATGTCATTAGCGGCAAAGTCTCCTTCAAGGGATCTGTTGAAATGGAACATTTGGTTCCACTTTGAAGTGCCGAAGCATTTGAATCATTTAGCGAGGAAGGATGCTGCGAGGGTTGTTAAACTGCTCTGTTTAGCAGCAGGCAGTCCAAGCACTGACAGAGAACACAAGGGATGAGAGAGGTATCATCAGGCACCAGGCACGTCGCCACCAGAAACTGATGTCGTTGACTGTTGCCACAGTTGGCTGTTGTGTTTTTATTCTCAGTGGAGCCCTAATGGGATGTTACTGTAGGAGGTAAGTGGATGCTGGAGGGGGAATTCTTCCCTTCACCATAGCCTCCAAATCAGTTACTGGGGTCATAAAACGGACAGATACAGACAGATACTTAGGAATGCACATACATTTACATTTGTGTAGTCGCTGGGTGGCTAACCTGTTCTTACAGATACAGGCACTTTTGTTGAGTGATACCCTAACCCGGTGATCGGAACCCACCCCAAAGGAGTTACAAAATTCCTGTTATTTTCTATATGGATAGAAAAAAAGAAATCCTTTACACAAAATTATGTTTATTTTTCAGTCTTCAGGCTTCTAAAATCCATTCAGATGAAACTGATCTTTGAATGGAATTTGTGTCCCAATTCCACACTACATACTAACTCTAACAGTATGTACTATACAAATCTTCCAAGATCCAAGACTGGTGTTCATACAGTTGGTATATAAGACAACAACACATTTTATACTGACAGGAAGTGATACAGTACAGTTCCAGCGGGAGGACAATCAGTACATTGTGTACATCAATCTTTGTCATATTGCTGCAAATTAAACTTCACAAAAGTGTCTCTAAGTGTCTTACTCAATTTTCTTTGTGCATTGCCAGATTGTATGCATACTTACATATTTAAGCAACTTGATTATGCCACTTTCCCATTGTGAACACATTACATACTGCAGTCTGGATTAGGGACACAGCTTCAGTCTTGTTTGCACTGGTGAATAGCTCCTCCATTTACTTCAGCATTGCATTGTGGGAAAATGGTGTACATCAACAGTACACTTAAAATCTCATTTGGAAGACTTGCCAGAGTTATTCACAAAAATCTTCATATAAACTATTCTCTTTGGAGGTAAAATTGAAAGTGAAACTTTTTAAAAATCCCTGATATCAGAGTTAAAAATGTGCATACACAGCTACGGCAAGTACAGTAGGTCAAGGTTAAGCCACAAGGCGGCTGTGTAAACTGTGATGGGTGTTTTCTCTACCAAACTAGTCTGGCTGACCTTGGTTGACGTTTTGTCTAAAAACTGTCTTGTCCGTTTGGGATGATGGACAGAACTATGAAAAAAAGAGTTGTAATAAACTGGAATTATCCTTTAAGTATTTTCCAGTCAAGTCAGTTTAAGCCCGTACACCCTAGAGAGAGAATTAGGATGGCTTCCTCTCTTCTCTGGCAGTCTGAACAAACACATTTTCAGGGCTTATAAACAGCGACACAAACACTGATTTCCACTGTAGCACTGGTGTATATGAGTTCTTTTTGTTTTTTTTATGTGTATGCTGTGCGGCTTAGACATTGACAAGACATTCCCCCAGTGGGCTCAGCGGGCCCATCTGTGGGTTCAGATGTCACGCCTTATTAAGTTTTATACATTGTAGTTTACAAATGCACAGAATGTCCAAAAGCAGGGAAATAACACTAAATCAATGGAGCTCAGGGGCATTCATGTCGACCAAATGCGACCTTATAGTGACTTATTATAAAATAGAATAACTAAGCCTGTGCACAAAATGATCAGTATGTGACAAGTACCTGATCTGAGTAGAAGAAGCCCAGAATTGCTATGGCCAGCTGGGTGAGGAAGACCAATGTCAGGCTGAAGGAGAACTAGAGTGAGAAAAGACATGAATATTAAAACACTGACTAAGACAGAACCATCACTGACTGTCAGATTGGTTGTTACACAGCAGCTGTAAAACTTGGTTTTATATTAAATGTAACTTGAGCTACCGTAACGGAAGCAACAACGCATCGCCAGTATTAGTAATGTGTCTGTTATGTCTATTACTGTCTTGAGGAGGCGAATGTTCTCTCGGAGGGCTCCGATGCAACCACAGAAAGTGATGAAGAACATGACCACCCCCACCACAATTAGGATGACAGCCGGGTCGATCAGGAACGTGTCCCGCACTGTGTCTGGCAGAAAGACAGGAACAGCCCCTGTTTAGATATCTGTTCTCTTTTTATTCCTACCTTTACCTCTTCCCTTCATTCTTTCTATGAATCTACCTTTACTCAAATTCTTTTACTCTCTCATTCCTTTTTTGTTTACCCATGCTCCCTCCTACCTAGCTGCCTTCATTGCCTTAAAATATCAGTGATCTGTTGTGGATTATGCAGGATACAGAGACGTAATCAGTGGAATGAGCTCAGGTTAATCCTTTTTGTTGTCCATTTACTATAGATTACATGAAAATAATGGCACAAGGTAAAATCAGGGTAAAGCTAAAGCTCGGCGACCCACTAAACGTGACTAGCTCTGTGTTCAGGGAAGTTCAACAGGTGTGCAGCTAAAAGAGGCCACCATGTTACACTAGCAGAGCTTGGGAGACTGCAGTGTATGAAGGAACCGTTTATCACAGTTCTTTCATTCACTGCGAACACAAGGCAGGTACTGCATGGACAATATATATAAAAAAAAGTCCCTTTCTATAGTAACACAGGATAAAAGACGGTTTCTCTTGTGTTCGAGGCGTGGAAAAGTGTTTTTGTAAGTGCGGTAAGTGTAAATGTATGTACCTGTAGCTTTCTGGACTTTAGCATACACCCCAATTGCAACAATCAGCAAGGAGAACACCTGAAAAAGAGGGAAATTGTAAAAAATTTCAATCACAGAAACACTTCACCATCAAATCGCACATAGAGCAGATCACTTATGTTCTCTTTTCACTTATGGTTGCTCAGATCTGATTGTGCTTCACATTTTGCTTTTAAAAGATGTTGCCAAATGGTTTTGCTATCACTCGAGCATGGGCATGAGTGAGGGCTTGGCATGCTGAAATAGGGTTTATTATTATTATAGCCTAGATATGAGAATGGTATCAATATTCTCAGCTAACTCTTGACAAGGAAAGGAATGAAGCGGATTCCCAAAATGAACTATTCCTTCAGTTTCAGTAAGAATGTGGGATCCATTAGAACACATCCTCATCTATCTTTTGCAACACCTAGAAAATGCACCTGTTATTTATGTGTAATTTAATTGAATATATAGACATGTAGAAATATCTTTATATATGTTGATGGTAAAAACTCATGAGGAAAATATGTGGCTTCCAGTGTGCTGGCTCTGTTTTGAACAGACTTCGCACTGTTAACCAGGACAGGTGCAATGAGATTAGCGATGATGAGCCTTTCCTCAGGTGCTGAGTATACACGACGATAGACAGACAGATGGATGTAAGCGGGAATGAAATAACGAAACATATGGATCTTGGCTTTAATTATCTGAATTTGGAGGCCATTAATGTGGAACATTGAAGTGGAAAATTCCTTTTTCTGACAAACTCAGTCCACCAAGACAATCCTTCAGAATTCAACACTACGTGAGAGTATTTCTCTACGGATCTCTCTGAGGAGTCAAACTTGACCTTGGTTAGAAAGTCACGGCTATTATCCACCCATGCTTTACTGAGCTATGTTTCGTATTTTCACCATTGTACTATAGAATAGTCCACCTACAATAGAGAAGGTGAAAGAGTGAGAGAAAGCAAAGAGGTGCGCAAGGAGTTCACAGTGTTGATATATCTGTTCTGTAGTTTTCTGTAAAAAAACCAACAAAACAACACACAAAAAACATTACAGCAGCAAGAAGAAGCTCCTACTGTGTAAAGTATTGAACACAAAAGAGACGTCGGCAGCCCACACTGCAGGCACTGGATGAAGCGAAGAATAGCTCATTTAATAAGGTTTCAAAACAGTGACACATTCAGGCACTGCGTGTGTGTGTGTGCTCTATGTAATGCTGCTTTATGAGGACGTGTTGTGAAGATGCTGAGGATGAGAGTTCACCCTGACAAAAACTACACAATAAAATGGCGAAGAGGGTGAGAATTGAAAAATAGGTGGAATTAGAGCTTCCTGTTGATTGCATTGTCAAAACTAATTTTCCTCCAACCCTTGATTATTTTTCTCACCTTGAATAACAATCTGCATGGCTTGGCTTTGATTTCCAGCCTCCGAATTCTCAGACAGTCTCCTGATTGCTAATTGTGTATGTGTCAATTTGTGTGCCCGCTTGTATACAGAATGCCTTTTGTTCAGCCTGTGTAAACATGGATTGGTTTTGTTTCTGTCTGAAAAGCCTGTATTGGGTCTCTGGAGGTCATGAGGATCCATGCTCCATGGCATTATTTGCTTTCAAACAGGTGTAATTTTTATTCTGCAGCCTTCACGTCCAATCCAAATGTTTAGCGTGTTCTGGAGAAGTAAATTGTTACTTTGACATGGTAGGTTTTTATCTCTCTCACATTTTCTGAATCAATAATCTGCCTTGACAAGACAATAGCTGACAAAACACAAGACATCAGTGATGCACGCTTTCTTTGGAACTGCAGTGTTTTAAAGATTTGTGAAAGCACAGTTAGGTTTTTTAAGGATATTCTCTGTTGTGTAGGAGTGTGTGCACCTGCAGATCCATTTGTCAGTTTGCCACTGTGTGTGCTTATGTGAATACGGGTGGCAGTGTGCTTTTGCAACAGGAGACACGCACACAGTGAATGTATTCCAGCTCTGTTTTCAGGCTTTTCAAAGGGATGAATCAGACTTCTCCCGGCGGATTGTGTGTGGAGGTGAAAGCCAGCTGAACTGAGCCGTGGGGACGCGGGGACAAAGGCCTGATGGATTAGGGCTGCAGTTTTCACTTCTGAGCCCGTGTCTGATAAACAAAGTCAACACAGGCCGGGCTGCCTGAGCCGCAGTTATTGCTGATTGGCTCTGAACACAGTAAGAGTGTGCTACAGCGTTTGCCCCCTTGCTGTGTTTTTGTAGGATAGGATGAGCGGGGATATGATGGAGGTGTAGGGACTCCGTAAAGCTCCAGATGTGATCCGTGTGCTCGAAGTAGTAATGCGGTAGGAAAGTGAGGGAGTCAGAGAGAGTCTTAACGGTATGTGCGTGTGTGTGTGTTTGTGTGTTTGTGTGAAAGCAATTGCTGATGAGAGACAAATTGCATGATGGATATTTTAATGGCTGCATCAAAGAGTCTATTCCTTTCACAGTCCCAGTATATCCTGGCCTTTTAGTTCCCCTGACAACCAGCAGTGGAGCTTATATAAACAGAGACTTTGAACTTGGTATAGGCTATACTGTATATCTGTAGTTCCCAGTCTTTTTTGTCTGATGTACCCCTGCAGCTCTGTCAGATGAACCTTTACCACTCGTCTTATTCCAGATGTGTTCCTTGAGTTCCTTAAACTGGGTCAACAGTTTTGACGTTATGTCAAAGACATCTATGCATTGTGTTATCTGCCGAGGTTAGTATGCTAATGAGCTAACTTTGGTAATAATACCTGCATGTTACACTTGCTTAATTTGTCCAAGGCTGAATCTGCTAGACTGGTAGCTCCCAGTGAACTGCATGGAACCAACCAGCATCTAATGTCGACGGAGGGCACTTTGATGACAGGGATAACAGTACTGACATTTTGGCTCCTGGGACCCTGGGGCTGAGTCAGCTAATGTTTGACATGTACAAGCTAACGCCAGCTAACATTACAGTGTACAGCAGTTAGCTACTTTTAGCAATAAGTGCATGAGGAAAATCCTTAAATCACCACAGTACCACTGACATCGAACTGGGTGGGAGGCTGCTGAGCCCGGTTCCGTTGCATTTTCTCCATAAAATAGGATTCAGTTTCACCCAAACCATTGATAAAGTTAGATTTTGTACAATTGATAAAAGTTTTTGTACGGTAATCAGTGAGGCCCAACCCCCAGAAACACTCTGTTACAGCAAAAAGCCATGCTGCTGCTAGCTAGCTTTTTAATGAATCTTAGGATTGTATCGGTAAAAGTTGAAGATTGATTGACAGGTGAATGTCCTGATATTATTGGTAGAAATTGGTTGGTTCATTTGTCGCATTTGTCACTTCACCTTGACTTAATTAAGGCCTAATTAATGAAAACATACCTATAAATATGATATTCTTTTTATCAATCATCAGTAGTTTCCTGCCTTCCTGTGCAAAACACTGAGCCATACGTCACCTGTCTCTTCCTTGTTTGTAGTTGTTAAGATGCAGACCATGCACACATGTGCGATGCAAACGTGTCACATTTACCCTTAGAATCCTGATTTTTATTCTCACTGGGGCAGGTTTCCTTCATTTTTAAATGAATTATATACAGCTGCCAGTTTTATAATTTTTGTCTGTTCTCTACTGTTTTGATAAGAATGCACCACTCAACATTTGCTACAGTGATGTATGAGTAATCTGTGTATATATAGTACAGTATAACTGTAGTAAACTTAAAATAGGCAGCAGCAGGAAGGCTGGGTGCTCCTGCTGTTTGCAGCTCCAAATCTGAATTATATTTCTTCATTAATTATATATACGCTTTTTTCTTTTGCCTTTTTTAGTCAGGCTTCCTTTTCTAGCAGATCTTACTTTTTTGGGAAGCTACAACTCCCTGATAGCTGGTGATTTGTATGCTCAGAAATATTAAGTATATATGGTGTACTGGGACACCGTAACAGCTGTGTTCTGCTGTCTCTACACAAAGAAATTGTATAACTTTACTCACCCAAAATAAGAAGCTGAAGAAGAAGAGAAAATATCTGATCCATGGATTGACGAAGGAGAACGTCTCAGCTCGGTTCAGATTCAGTTTCCTGTCCATTGTTTGTCCGTGTTTTTACACTCACGTAGACCTACAGTGAGTTTAGCTTCAAAACAGTCCCCAGATCCAGCCCCACCCTGCACATACTCACCCGCCATGTGAATCTGAGAGGAGGGGGTCGTTTGCTGGCTGTGGGGGTGTCGAGCTGGCTAAAAAAGGGGGCATGGGGCTGTGACGCTGCTCCGCCATGCTGGTAGGGCCCAGAACTGTCTATGTAGGCAGGCTGGTCAGATTACACAAAAAATATCTCTGGCTGCCTGCAGCTGAATGGCCTACCAGCTCGGGAGCATTGTCAGCCTGCTGCCAGATTGTAGACCTTTCACCTCCACACACTCTCTGCCTTACTGTCTTTCTCTGTTACCTAAAAGTTACTAGATCCTGTATCGTAGGCCTACAAGCATATAGCCCTATTGTTTCAACATCAGTGTTTATTGCTTCTGAAAGGCTTGTATTGTAGTCTGCAGATTACAGCTTCAAAGACAGACTTTCTCCTGCAAAGAATTGAGCATAATGACAGTTGACAAAGGCTGGACAATGACATCTTTGTGAGGAAGGACATGTAATGTAGTTAAATCAGTTACATCAAGCAGTTTGCTCTGATGTTTCCACTGTGCTGTGTCCATTTGTGCTCGAGAGTGAATCTGCTGAATTTCAGCCAAATGACACTCACATGAATCAAGAGGCAAAATGTCATGCCACCTATTCCGTAATGAGATTAAGATGGAAAACTCAATTGATAGTCGCCTGGCAAAATGTATCATCTACCCGAGTGATAGAGGGATTATCTGAGGATAGAGTAAAGAAAGAAAATAATAAATCACGTAACTAATTTTATGTGAATATATAAAAGATCCCCTACTGGCTCCCTAGCTCTATCTTCTAACTGTACCTTATGATTCAGAAATGTAGTCTGAACTGTCCTTGACGATGGGAATACTGTATGTGAATACTTAATCACAAGGTTGGGGTTTTTTTTTTATCATTATATCAAGTATCAAGTGTAAGTGTCTCCAGTGGAGTGACAGAAGGACACGAGGTCCCTCAGGTACCTCAGTGCCTTGCCAGAGGTACATGAAAACTTAATGAGATTGATCTCTGTTTTGTAGATGAGATACAACTTTTTTTTGTCCCACAGACACATAATTGGAATTTGCCCTTCTTATTCATGCAACATCTTGCTTATATAAATTAACCTAGAGTATGAGTTTTATATTTATAATAGTGAATGACCTTGTTTCACAAAATGATATAAAAACTATTGTCTGACTAATGTCATTAAATATTAGGCTACTGTCAGCCCTGTAAAACCATCATGTGACATTTTTTTTACCCTTTCGTTTTTGCACAGATTAAACAAACTAAATATAACATGTTAATTAGTGACCTTTAAATGTGCTGGTACAGTTAGCAGCTGCTAGCTGTAGCTTCATATTCATCATACAGACATGGTATGTGGTATCAATCTTCCCATCGATTTCAATGCAACATAAGGTCGATGCTGTAGCTAATTAGCTAACACAAGGTAGTCTGAACTGATTTGACTGAAAGGTCCAGTGTGTAGGATTTAGTGGCATCTAGTGGTGAAGTTGCAGATTGCAATCTGGGAATGAGAACGGGCCGGAACGGTGTGTAGGAGAAGTTACAGTCGCTGTGAAAAATGCAAAAGGCCCCAGCGACAGCAAGTGTTTGTCCGCTACTGTAGAAACATGGCGGTTCAACATAGCGGCCTACATGTAGATAACAACGGCTCATTCTAAGGTAACGAAAACACAAGGATTCTTATTTTCAGGTGATTATACACCAATAAAAACACATTATATTCCATTCCTGCCAATAAAGCCTCCTAAATGTTACACACTGGACCTTTCAATTGCAATTATATAAACATTGTAAATGTTAATGTTATTAAACTAACTTCTAGTATCCTTCAGACAGGACATAGATGCTTTAAACTAACTGAAGTTTTAACCAATTGTGTAATGCTACAGAAAGCCCAAAGCAGTATTAGTCATGCTGTATTTGCATGTGAAGTCATGTCAAAACAGCTTGACAAAGCTCGAAAAGCCTCAGTGCTGTGCAGTTAAAAAGATAGCGGGTTTACTTTGGTAAACACGACAGATTGGGAACAGATAGTAGCAGAAACAACCTGCATATCAGCTGCAACGCAGGTTAACAAGGCGAATAATGCTGCGTGGAGACAAACTAAACAGTCTGAACAAAAAAGAAAATCCTCCCAATTCAGGTTAATGAAATGAGCTCTGCTGAGGATAAGGGGAAAAAAACGTGAAATGCTGCAATAACAATTAGGGTAGAAAAAGTATCCAGGGTTGATTCTGTTCACTTTATTTCAGTACATGTTACTCATACAAAATAATCTGTACAAAGGCTAAAATAGGTCATATTTTTGCATAGAAGGAACAGTGATGTAAAACAAAAAGCCAGGATGGAATGGCACAGTAAACTCCACTCACTATCACACACGGGCCGGATAACAATTAGGTTAAAAAAGGGATAAAGCTCCATACAAAAATACTCTTCTGCTCACTCCATGCTGTAGAAACACAAGACAAATTGGCCATGGTTCCCACTTTCATCATCTCCCTTTTGTTCTTTAAAAAAAAGAAAGAAAAAAAAAAGGCTGCTTAACTGCCTGACTACAATTAGCTCATCTCAGCGTCTTTTGGACAACAGTCCCTCAGGTTTTGTTATTTTTTTAAAAAGAGGCCATTTTAAGGCAGCAATGCCACTCTCTTTCATTCAATGCACCATGGGATCTGCTGTGACACCGCTTTACTTTGCTCTTCATGCCAAGTCCTGTCTTCCAACCCCAAAACATCAAACACTGTTTAAATGCTGCCTAAATAATTGACAGTGACATAAAAAGTGAATATATCAGGAGCATCGAGTCATTAAACATGAAAGGCAATGAGCGTACGGTATCGTGGAATTTTGTGACACTCTTTCCTTTATTTAAAAAAAAAAATAGTTGATTTAGAGAATAAAGAGAAGGTAGTGCACCACCTAGTATAGATATTCAGAGTGCTTTCACATGTAGCAGAAAACTCCACAGGACAAGGCTGGCAGGTATCAGATAGTGCCACCCGGCAGAACACAACATCAAACACACCATTTCTAGAGCATACATTTCCACTGCTCAGATATTGAGCTTTAGCACGGGGGAAGGATTAGGAGGAGATTACAGAAATAATATGTCAAAGGTGGCAAATAAAAAATAAAAATCTAGCATTCTATGTCTCAAAATTCTTCACAGCAGACAAAACCCAATTACTGCATGTGCGTTCTTCCTTTACCATCTCTGTGGCTTACTGGGAGTGCTTCCATGAATAAGAGGGAATACTTTATATATATATATATATAAAAAATACAGAAAATGTATCTTAGTACAAGATGCAAATGCAGTCAAATAAAATATGAAAACCATACTGACAAAAACACAAATTTACACCAAATTTACACTGCTCCTGTACTTTAAAAGAAGAAACCAGAGGCAGAAAAACAACAAATCAAAAGTGACTAAATGGATAACATAGAGGTGGAAGATGTGTCCGTAAATTAGCACAAAAGAGCATGGGTTGTTAGGCAATTCAGAACTAAAAAATGGCAACTAAACTGATTGCAAGTGGCGGACGTAAAGTATGACAGTAAGTTACATCAGTTGTAAAAATTAGCATATTTACATCCGGGGCTAACGTACAGGGCTGATACACTGTGGTGACATGAGCTCTGTGTTGTGCAGTGTCGTCTAATAGATCATGCTCTACAAATACATAATGGGGCCTTACACTGGCAGTTTTAAATGACATACTGCAGATTACACCAGCACGTCCTAATTTAATTAAACTAGGTCCTAATACAGAGAAGCACGACGACAAGCGTGCAGTATGTCTTTTGTGGGCTTCACCCGATGCTATATGACAAATTTCCTCTTTCTATCAATTCTGACTTAATTGCTTTAACTGCCCGTAGCAATGTTAAGACAGAAAGGCATTTTTGCACCTTGTAGAGGGACATCGCAAAGACTAATCCTCTGAAAAACAAATGCTTAATGTAACGTTCTCACAATGAGTGAATATGAGCCTGTGTCACGAATGGTGAAAAAAAAAAAAAAAAGCCAATAAAAGCAGCCTACAACAAGCAAAACACCAGTATATCGTATAAAAACAAACATTAAAACAGCGACAACCAATGTACAAAAATAACATCATTAAACAGCTCTTGTTAAAATGGCATTCATCCCTGCATTCTAAGAAACATGAAGCGACATTTTCTCTGACAAAACCATGAAAACTAGTGGCAGAGTTGAAAGGGAGTTCACACAGAGCAGAAAATGTCTGAATGTCAGCACCGGTAGATCAGTCAGGGGCAAAGATTTCCAGGGTTTGCAGGCTGGCTCTCTGAAATTTGACGTCAGATTTCGAGGCAGACACTGGATTTGTTTTATTTCTGCCACTGTCACATTTTCGGTGACATCTGCGTTTAACCCCCCCCCCCCAATGCAAGACGAAGCAACACAACTAAATATTATATACTTGGGTTTCTTCTGAACTTCTTGTCTGCAGTAAGGTTACAATGCAGTCTGATTTACAGAACGGTTACAGCCATTTCTCCTACAACCCCTCCCGGGTGCAGAATATACCTCACAGCTGCTTCGAGGCATCCAAAGAGCACAGCTGTATTTCTTCAGTGCTGCCAGCTACTGTATATGTAGTGCCGGGTGTCTGCAGAGCGAGGCAGTAAATAAAGGATGTGTGGAGAGTTTGTGGAGGCAGCCAAGCAGAGGAGATGTGACCACTCGTGCCTGCGCTGTACATCAGCAGCTGTCATGTTCCCCCCGTGGACACAACAAGAAGAGTTGGAGCATATGGGGGGCAGGCAGTGAATCACAGCCAGCAGGGTCGCTGCACATCATAGCCCAAATCTGTTGTTTCCTGACGCACGAACCCTGCTTGTCCTAAAACGTTGTCTCTCCAATTAAGTCATTATAAAACTAATAAAAAGCTAAGAATGACTTCAGGGGGTACTCAGGCTGACTCAACAGGCTGCCTGACTGGAAAAATGTCCAATGAGTGAATCTTTGTGGGTCATTTTTACTTTCCTTGCTGTGTCATTTGTTTGCCCATATAGCAGCAATGCACAGTGTCTGAGTTCCAAGGCTTCTTCCAAAGCAACAAACACTCCTGTCATCGATTACCTTGGATACTATTTAGAAAACAGCCACTTCTGGTCCCAATGATTTCTCTACTCGGTTTCCAACAGCAGCAAACAAATGATCACCTGTGTTCTCCTATTAAAGGCTAATTCTAGTTCATGGTCTTATTTTTGTGGATTTGGCCATCATCCCTATCAGTAATAGTACTGTAAGTTCTTTGCTGAGATCTGGGAGAATTCACAAATTGAAATATGTCTGCTCTTGTACCCACTGATGGCTGTTTTTTTGGTTGTAGAAGGAAAAAGATTGGAGATGTCTTCCTGTGCCGGAGTCAGAAAAATTGGCTGTTTCCAAAATCTCCATTTGCTAAATAGTGCACTATTTTCACTGTCCCACATTTCCTCAATCTGAATTCTGAGTGTGAAATTTCCCACAATGGACAGGTCTAATCATCCAGAGTAATTGAAAACACTTCTATGAATGCATTTGCATATTTCTTCAACCATTGTGAAAGATGCCAACAGCTTCTCGCAGTCACACTTGTGTCAACTGAAAAGGACACTGTCACATCAGATAGATAAGTCACTGGACACAATCCAGTCTCACAAGCAACATGGCAATTCTGATTATCATCCTATGGAACATTAGCAGTCAGTCATCATTAAACAAACTCCCAAAGTAGCCACAAACAATGGTGAACAGTTAAATTATAAACTGTCCACAGACTGATTTTCAGGTTCAGCTTTGTGTTTTGCTTGCTGTAGATGTGTGGATACAGTTTTCCAGCGCAATGATGGATTACTACTGATATTGAGACATTTCGTTTTGTGAATGAAGTGGTAGCTAATCTGGTTATCCTGTTGTATTGTTTACAACCTGTCTGCTCGCTTGTGTCTTGTCCAAGTTGGACATTGTTGAAATGTTGTAGGCATGTTCTCAAACCTCAGCATTTACTTTGGTGAGTATGTTGTTGTCATACATGATGGCCTAAGCAGATCGTTTAACATTAAGCTAGTCCTTTACCCCACCGCCTCTCATATACTCACAGGCATTTTGAAGCCTAGAGTACACACACTGGAGGGCATTTTCTTGAAGTCGCCACAGCTTGAAGAGTATTTTCAGTTTTAAGGTGGCAGGCTTGTGCTCAGGCCTCTTGCAGCGAATCAGTGGTAAACAGACATGTTCTACAGGGCATGTTGCCATACCTATCTGTCTCAGCTTTGATCTGCCTGCGCCCCCTCCTCTGAGGCTGCTAGAAAAGGAAGTGTACGTAAAATGGGTAAAGTTGCAGACCTGAGGTGTAACCTTGTGATGAACAGGAATGTCAGCAGAGGTACTGTGTGCACGTATGGAGTGTGAAGCTCATTGCTTTCTGACATGTGGGAAGGAAAATTGGAGCGAAAAAAAAAGAAATGGAAGGGGGGGCTGACAGCCGGAGAGAGGAAGAATGAGGAGGGCAGAGCAAATGGATGAGATCTCAAGAATATAGAAGAAAAAGTCTCTCGCCGCTTCCACTGACGCATTTGATGGCAGCAGGGAGACAACATGTCTGCTCTGTTTTCAGCCCCCTGTGCCCTTACTTCTGTGTGTTTCTATGGCCTGATTTTTTTCCTCTGCACCTTGGACAATCTGATAAAACACCCCAACTAATGTTGCGCACACACACGCGCACACAAATAATTCAGTATGTATTCTCGAAGGGGTAACTTCATTACCCAGATCTCTTCACTTGACAGTCCTGGTGGGGCCCTAATAAACAGCCCATTTTACACCATTTGTATTGTCTCACAGCGAATGGGAATACTGCTGCTGTGTGGCAGTACAAAGTGTGTTTGTGTCTGGGTGTTCACTGACAGATTTGTGCATTACAATTTATTATTGAGAGGATACTGCAGAATTTGGTATGAAATAAATCCACTGATGATTCCTCGTGCTCACATGACGTTCCTACAACACGTTCATTCTACCCAAAGCTCAAAGCTCTATAGCCGGATGAAAAACATATGAATCATAGATTACATTTAACAGCACCCCGACATGTCTGTGCCCCTATGCAGCAACGTCACGTCAAATCCAAACCGCCCCCACACACACACACACACACATACAAACACACTGCATGTCTGAGAGCTCATTGCACCGATCTGTTTAACACTTGTGTTCACATGAGCATCAATGACATACTTACAAAAAAAACAAGACAAAATAAAGACGTTTGACATTTCGACAACAAAGGTAAATCTGTAAAGTAGAAAACTAGCATGCCATGTTGGAACTTTTTTCATTTACAAGTGAAAAGGGGGCTTGACTTTAATCAACATGAAGAAAAAAAGAAAAAATTCCACAAGGGGTGGAGGGTATCATCAGTTTCATATGTTCTCTTTGCCTCTCAGTGTGGTGTGTGGGCATTAGTAAAGTCTTCATTGTCTCAAAGTCTGTCCTTCCTTCCAGCAAAATGTTAGTCCAAGCAAAAAAAATATAAAATAAAATAAAATAGAAATGTACTCAAGAGGAGTGACAACCAATGGGATTCTCTTCCTTGCCAAAAGTAGGTGTCCTTTCTCTTCCAGTTGTGTTACTCTTTGGCAAAATGAATGGTGAAAGGGGAGAGAAGAAGAGAGCGGGGACACAGCTGGAATCTGTACAAAAGATCTGGGAAGGGGGGGGGTCAGAGGATGCTTTAAAGAGGTTGTAAAGTGGGGTGGGGGTGGGGTGCGGGGACGCAGGGGTGTTTAAATCAGAGTCTTATCCCATCAGGCAGTGGGGCTCCTCTCCGCTGGGTGCCTCCCTCAAGGCTAAGCGTCGTACTTCTTTCCCGTTCTGTGGATGTGGTGGAACAGCGTCATGGAGAACGCCATGCCCAGGAGCTGCGGAGGAAACGAGAAGTAGATAGTGAATTTGTGTCTGCATGTTTTGTGTATATATATATATATGTGTGTGTGTTTATGTATGATGTATGTATGTCTCTGTGTGGTGTTTTTGATGTTGATGCCTTGGGCTGCTATGCATTTTTTTGATTCACAATAAATCCTGTGGCGAAGCACGAGGACATTTTCGTTCACTCTCGTTTTCTAAGATGGCCTTCAAACGCAAGCTCTGGAATCTTTGTGACAGAAAAAAAATGTACAGCGAGCACAAGCATTAAGTCAATGAAGTAAATTGAGATGCCACTGAATCAAAGTAGCCAGCTATCTCTTTGAAGTTTCCATTACCCCTGATACTTCTACATCAAACACAGTCACAAGACTGATCCTAAAACCATTATCTGGCAAAGTTCGGATGGCAGGGATACTGCAAAGTACTGTATGGTGCATAGTCTTTACTAAAAAGGAAATGTGGACTTCCTGCAAACAGCTTCCACTGGGGATTCCTACAGGATGTGATTAGCCTGGAAAAGCTGCTGATTCTCTTCTTTTAGTTTCAGTCAAAAGCTAATTCTGCTTAAGAGAAAATGGTACCTTAAGCTGCTGTCAATCAAAACATGAACTGCCATTTGAGGTAAACATCCAGCTAAGAGACAAGACTCTTCAAAGAGCAGTCACCATCCATATACATGTACAGCTGGCATTTCTGAAACCGTCGTGGGTTAGGTTATACATTTAGGCTTTTAAGTCAAAGTCACAGATGCTGCTAGTCTAAATCATTCATAAAGCCAGTTCTCTATCCTCTGGCTATTATGTAACGTTGCAGAATTGTGTCATCAACTTTTCATGATGCTCATCATTGTCATGCTACCACCTTGCCTTTACGTCTGCTAATCTGACAGCTCAAGTCATGTGTCTCCATTCACCCACCTTTCACCTGAATTAGAGTCAGAGAGAGAGAGAGAGTGTGTGTGTGTGTGTGTCTGTGTGCGTGCGCGTGCATGCGTGTAGAGATGGAGAGAGATCATTAAAATCAATGTCAGCCGAGTTGGTGTGGGATTTCACTCTGCTTGAAGACTTTATAAGTCTCAGGGTAGATATTTGTCACTATTCTGCATGAGCATACTGTGTGTGTGAGTGTGTGTGTGTGTGCGTGTGTGTTTGAAGAAGAATGAACAGACAGGGAAGAGACCGTGTCAGACAGAGAGAAGAAGTCAGTTAGAATAAATGCATGCGAGCATATAAGATTAGTGCGATCCTGTCATGAATACACAGTGATCTGAAGTTGGCCAATATATTTGAGGCTGACTTTCCCTCAGTGAGGTTGCACTAAAGCTCAAGCACCATCTTCCCCTAAGGACATTAGAATGTGCAGAATCTCAACAGAGAGATTTAACAGTGAGCCCACCTTGAGAGAACCGTGGACTCATGGATTAGCAAACTGAAGCCTCGTATTGCACAGTCACAGACAGGCCCGGGAGGGCAGGGAAAATAAAGGAAGAGGAAATGTTGAGAGCATGAAAAGTGGAAAGGAAGACACAGAGTGCAAGGGATGATCCACCTGTTTTCATGCGCATTTTCAATTTGAAAAAATAAATACACCCGGAGTGGAAAATTAAAAAAAAATAGCCGTAGCTAAAACGTTTATTATGCATGGCTGAGGTGGAAAAGCTGATGTATCAATAAAAACAAAAAGGTGAAATGGACAATGAAAAAAAACGAAGCGAGTGACTTAGGCATCATTCAAGCAGACGAAAACATCAGATATGTTGAAAAGGAAACTGTAATATTCCTCAAATTAAAAGTGAAAGAAATAGAGATTCTGTATTTCCATTATGTTTCCTACACCGTTTTTGTGTGTTGAAGGTTTGACCATTTCTCGTTGTGCCTCATTCTTCTGCAATGGTTTAATTAGCGCCACCAGCTGTTGATCTCAATGTGGTCAACTCCTAATATTAGTATTGCAGTAGTGGATAGAAACTCACTTTAATTAGCATTTTCTTGCTGGTATAATGCCCATATCCTCATACTCAAACACAGATAATCAGAAACTGCACTCCATTTTTGCACATTTTGCACATTTGAAAGTGTGACTTTAAACTGTACATTTTATTTTTAAACCTTTATATTCTTAATANNNTACATCTGGAGTATATGTAACGAAAGTAATTTCCCCCTGGGATTAATAAAGTATTTCTGATTCTGACTCTGATATGACTATTAACAGTTAATTTTCATTGTTTATTTTTGCTGAGAACTGTGCACAGCACATAGAAAAAAATAGGCTAGAGCTCATCTTGTCGGGTGTTGCTGCGACTATGTGTGCGACGCCCTGCTCACCCACGCAATGTGGCTGCTTCTAACCTGTTAACATGGGCGCAGAAATTAAAAGCATGAGTTCCTGTGCCGCACACGTGCAAATGCGAAGACAGCGAGACACTCACTGTACAAAGACGGATCGATGTGAAGCAGAGTTTAGGACAAAAAGAGAAACAGTACGTTAGAAGGAATGTCTGTCACCTCTCCCTGCAGTGCCTTTAATATGCGACTCCACACCTGTTTCTCTATATTCACTATCTCTGCTCTCCTATCTTCTGATAGCTCCTTATACATGACTACAGTCTGCTTGGCACAGAGCCCAGACAGGATCAGGGTCCAGAAGACAGTGACTTCAATATTTCAAGATGTGTGGGTGCCCAGAACGCCCACCGAGCACAGGCCTCATAACTTTCACAGTAGAACACGATGGCACAGAGGCCACTGAATGCACACGTTTTTTTCAAAACATGTAGCCAGACAGGCAGACACAAACAAATACACCCAGACACAAAGCGAAAAGAAGAAAGGGGAGGGAAAATAAATGGTAGAGAAAGAAATGGAGAAGGAAAGAACAATTCATCACTAAGCCTCCTACCTGCACTACCAAGATGACCATGCCTATGGTTCCCAGCAGGTGCTTGTTGTCATCCAACCATTCCTCCACTTTCTCGAAGCAGCCCTAAAATGGAACAACAGCTTGTGAAGAAACCACTAAAGAAATGTGAATTTTCAGTGTGTTAGAGGAATCATGTCACCATCAAGTTCACGCTTTCTTATAAAAATGCCTCCCACATATGGGCTACCAGGTGAGGTGTTAAAATAAATGAATAACCCATGAGTGATGACTTTAATGCAGACTTTGGGCCATATGGACAGACGTGTGCGCTAAGTCTTAAGTGTATTCCCACCTGGGTTCATTCAGAGGTCGCTCGCTGGCAGGGAGGTGGGGTGAAGGACTTAATGGTAGTTTCAGCTGGAAAGTGGTGCCCCTTCTTGGGTGTGGGTGCTGAGGAAGCATGTAACGCTTAACTACAGTATATAGTGTGTGGCCGTCTCCTCTGGGCAGGATTACACACAAGCTTTTAGTGCCAGGCTTTCCCGGTGGACCAGCTCAATGTCTGCCTATTCTCATTTTGGCAATTATATTACAGCATTTAATCCCCTACTTTAGACCCGCTAACAAACCACATGCCAGACCAATAGCAGATTAGACTTGTAATGGGGGGATATTGGTGAACATTGTGCTACAAAGGGCTGTTGTCTCATGAATAATGCAAAAAGAAAAAAAATCCAGCGTGATCAGAATTCAGCAATAAGATGAAAACTTTAACGCAATTTCAAATACACTCAGGGTTGTAAAAGCAACTCCTGAACAGATGGACCAAATATATATATGATTTATGATTTCTATGTCCCCTGTGAATCTTGTACTAGTATTAGTCTGTGTCCTAAATCCACATAATTATTATTTAAAACCGCCATATATTCAAACACAACTTGATGTGAAAAGACAAGAATTTTTTTACTGGCTGATGCTCCCACTAGTGTTTTATCCATTGACGGATTATGGGACAGCGGGCCCCTAGGCACAAACATGTAAAAGGACTTCCTCGTATGGAGGACAGATAGGAGCAGGACAGCCGGACCGAAAGAGGCAGAGCGACAAGAAATAGCATAATTCTTTCTTCTTGCTGTAGCTGATTAATTCACTTAACAATAAATGTCAACATCACATAAAAAAAAGCTCCTTACCAGGGGCCCTATGACTCCTTGGGTCCCCGTGCCCGATTTCAGTAATCCTTTCAGTGTACGTATAACAAAAACATGTTTGCATGTAGATTATAGCCAATGTGAACTCACCCTGTTCCAGAACATGTTGGTGGAGTTACGCCCACAGTTCTGGTAATGCTCCTGGCAGCAGCGGTCAGGAACCACCTTCTCCTGCAGGGCCTCGTGCCAGTCGGTGTATGCTATCACACCGCAGCACTTCCACTGTGAATGAGACACACACACACACCGGACACACGATTAGTTAATGCTTTCTGTCAGTCCAGGGAGACCTCAAACTAACTTTAATGTAACAAGTATCGTAATTAGTCCCTTTGCTTTAGAGGACTGCAATAATGGAATGAAGTGTACTTCAACAGCCAGTTTTGACTTTCAATGTCGCATTAAAATACAGCTACGAGCCAGGAAATACATTAGCTGGAATATTTCTGTTAAACTTTGCATTTATGTATCACTTCTAGTGTTGTGAGTGAACATTCAAGCTAATGTTTCTAATATTTGATGTAATGTGTGCTGTCAGGTCGGCCTACCTCTGCCTGGATGATGTTCCAGGCATTTCGCAGGCCTATGTTATTCTCTGAGTTGTAGAGAGCCAGCCCATCCTTCAGATCCTGCTTGGCATTCTCACTCACCTGGAGATGAAAGAAACAATAGCAGCCTTGGTTAGAGATCTTGGTTTAAAAGGGTTGGTTGAGCAAGAACTGTCGACTGAGTTATAGCATTAATAATGTTTATATTGGTGCAGGCAGTTGGAGAATGTTTGTGAAGGGTGCTTTCATATTGTTGTTTACTTCTCAAACTGTAGATGTCTTCTTTAGACAGATGTAAATGATAATAGTGGTGTCCATTGTGTGCAGTGAAGGGAGTATTTTTGGAAGACATCTGTATGAAAGATCATGGATTCTTCTTTTTGTCAACTGACTAATGATGATGAAAACAGTACACAGACAGCAGAGATTTAGCAACAGCTAGAATATAATGTTACAGGTAACCCTTATCTTGTCATCTAAAAATAATCCTGCTACAGTGACTTGGACTTTTGCATGAAGACTGCAGATCTGACACATGTCATGTGTCGCTTCGCTCCACGCACACACAGCTTCAACATGCCCTTCAGCAGAGATAGCAAATGATTTTCCTCTTGACTGAACCCCAACAATGGGCTCAGGGTTGTGCCACGTCTGATGGAGATTAATATCTCATTGGATGTGTTAATGAGATACAAAATCAGAGCTTTAGTTCTCCTGCAGTTCTCTTTGCCCGTCGGGATTTGCTAACTGCCAGGACAGATTGAGAGGCGCTTCCGATAAGGGGTAATTATTACTGGAAAAATGACATGCACTGCCACAGCCGTGCTGTACATCTTCACAGGCAAGTTTTATCACAACAAAAGGAATGCACTTGCTTTAATATTTAAAGCTTAAGGCCTCAGACTGTGCCTAGGGAAAAAAAGCTGCACACAATAAGAGACAGGACATCATGTCTGTCACTGCCTGACACAACACGCTTCTTTCAGCTGTTCACCAGTTTCTTTACTCGGAGAGGGAAGACTGGTGTTCAGCTAGGCATTGTTAGGAGGCTGCTCAGTAAATCCTCCAGTTAAAAAAAGAATAGAACTAAGAAACTGAGGCAAGCTGGTAGATAATATCAAGCCTGCTTTTAAGATATACAATTTTAATGTCGCTTGACTAATAACCTGTTTAGCTCAGCAGAGACCTGCATTCTGTACATTAAACTGTGTATGAGAGACAGAGCAAACCTTCCTTTGATCACACAGACAGCTAGATTAAGATTTCAATTAAGTGTTCAGTTCATTTATTGGGGAGAACAAACCCCCCCCCCGAACCCTTGTTTTCTGAGCTGCGAGGCATAGCAAAACTATTTGCTGAATTAAACATAAAAGAGAAACAGATTTTTTTCCTGATTAATTAAAGTTTCCCTGGCAATAAAACGCTTTAGTAACCATTAATCATGCAAAACCCATTTAAAGCATTCTGTAAAACCTTTGAAATAAGATTAGTATCATTTCAAATCACATTCTTCTTTCTCGCTTTGTAACTTTGCTGATGCAGAGGAGCGAATCTGTGTACTGCACCCCGGGCGGCGGGCCCTAACATATCTGTCCTTGTGCAGGAAAATGAGATGAAGAGCAGCATCATCAATCTATGTCTTGTACTTCTATCGTCTATCTTCTCTTCTCCATCTAGGCTATATGTGATGCTGCTCGCTCATTACTGACTCCTCACTAACACACACTAGAGTTCAGCCCCCCCCCACAATAAAAATCATCTTCTGGGTCTCCATAAGTCTCTGCACATCCTTCATTTCATGTGTGGAAGTCTTTGTTACAGCCTGAAATGAAATTTAATGATCCAGATTTACCGCTAACGAGAGGCAGACAAATGACTGCAGAACAAACAGGGATTTGATCATGCTACACTGCCCCATTTTCTCCTCGCAAAAGAAGCAGATACAAACACATCTTTGTGGCATTAGCCTATTTTTTCTGATAAGAAAAACTAACTTCTTGACTGAAGTTCATGTTGCTGGTACAGGAAATTGTTCACAAATAACAGTCCGACACCATTCCTGGGCAACATCTAACTCTCGTTAAGTTTTCTCTGAAAGTTGCCACAGGGCATCAGTGCAATACCTCAAGTGTGGCATATTGACAAAACCCTGAGACACCACTCATACTTCTCATCATTACATAGATAAGCTTGTGGTTTCCTCTGGGCTGCCCAAGTCCACGCTCAGCAATGCAAGACAGCACATTCATCACAGAAATCTAAAGGGTTCAGCTCGGCCAGCTGGGCGAACACGCAAGAATCACACAAGGGAAGAAAATATGGAGATGTGCTGATACACATGTTGACAGGTTAGAGGAAGGAATAGGTTTTGTATCTAAATCAGTGTGTTACTGTGCACAAAAGCAAGAAAACGGAGAATGGGTGGTGGACTGTCGGAAAAACAACTTCAGACGCTGTATTGATAAAATGTAGCCAGCAAGTACTGAAATTAGTGATAAGGTATTAAAGCTGTTCTCTAGTTAATTTTGTTTGTTTGATGCTTTAATTTTTTTTTTACAACTTCACTAAAGTCGTACAAGCATATTTCTTTGGTTGTGTCTAATTCCAGCACAAATACATTCATAATTCCAGTGCAAGGACTCCCCACTGTCAGAACTGGGCCCCGGATCTAGTGACATGTAAACACCCCGGGGACCAGATACTGGGACTTGTCACTGTGCAGACACAAAGCCTCACTGCTTACTCATTACCAGAGTACACAGCCATAACTGAGCTGTCTGCTGCAATTTTCAAAAATGTGATCTGATCTTTTCATTGGTGTTTCAATGTTGTATATCCACCGAAAATCCAATTTTCCTGTTTCCATGGCGCAAAGGTCCAACCCTGTGCCATGCAGATGACAAATTCTTCCATTGAAGAACACATTTGGAGATATGTTAGCTGTGCCCCAGTGTTGATTCCCTTGTATTTCTTTCTCATTAGTTTTGCCTCTGAGGACGACTGGCTGTCTCAGAGGGCGGTTTGAGTTACACAAAAAGCACACAAAAGTATTGCTTATTGCTTAATTTACAGTAGGTGGTGTGATGGGTGTATAGAAGAGCAAATCGTGTATTGCTGTTGGGAGTTTTATTCACTTTTACCCAACTGCTATTTATCACTTTGAGCGATTACACTCTTCAAATGATGTTACAGTGTTTAATTCCAAATGAATCACAGTCTCTGCAGAACAATTTAACAAAAAAAATAAAATCCAGACTATGCAGGTGGTTTACTAAACATATTACCACTCGGAGAAAGAAGCCAACTAAATGAAAAAACAACCCATCTGTGAAATAAGACAAATGGTACATAACTACAGTATGTAAAAATCTAGCCAGATAAAAAGAGATTTTTAGCAGTCTGCCACCTTCTGTGCACACTGGCAACAGCTTTGGGCGATACATAACTGGATGGGGAACCAAGACATTGGTCAAACAGTTTTTATTAGTGTATGATCTCCTGAAAATAAGAATGGATGTGTTCTTGTTATCTTACAATGAGCTGTTTTTTTTTCTACAGAGGAAGTGGGTCCTCTTCCACGGAGGCC